CCGGCTTAGCCACTCGCGCCCTGATATTTTTTCTCTCTTCCTTTCTTTACAATAATTCCTATACGTACATTAAAGTTTCTCGATATATGAGAACTATGTACTTTAAAATTTTCGTACACTTTAAGTATCTCGAATTGAGATCGGTGTACATTTTAACTGTCTCTTGTAGACTAATTTACTAATTTCTTTAAGAAAAATTAAAAATTTAGCACGAACATCCTGCAACGGCTCTTATCGCCATTTTCATTATTTATCGTTTATTTCGAAAAATTACATGTTTTATTTGTGTGATCTGATTTAATATTCTTCCAATGACAATAAATTTCTTGTAAATTTTTCGAGTACCTTGCTAAATAAAATTAATTAGTCATTAAAAAAATGTTTTAATAAAACCGAAATAATATAAAATAAATAAAAAAATTAAAGTTAAATAATAACATTACAATAATAAAATATGTTATAAAATAAAAAATAGACAATGATAAATTTTGAATATGTGAATTACGTTAATGTTCTATTGGCTAAATATTAAAATTAATAGTATTATTAAAGATTTAATTTATTTTATTAAAATTATATTGTTACTATTTTACCGTATAGAACATAAAAATTAAAGTTTAATTAAAAATGAAACCAAAAGTACAACTGTAAAACGGCAATAATCATTTAAATTTGTCATATACTTATTTAATAAATATAACCCTTGAAACTGATACAGTAATACAGTAATCATAATTTTATTATATGAGCTGGTAGAGTTAAAAGCTAGAATACCCGCAATTATTATTTACATCATATAGAAAACCACAGACGTTTCGGCCTTGGGCATAAGCCATCTTCAGCGTGGAAAGTAAACAAACAGTTTTTCGATAAACGATCTAGAAGTCACAACGCAACGTCTTTTAAAAGTTTTACATTTAACACTACTTAATACATATTTAAGATTAATCTCAAACGCAATTCCGTTGGTTATATAATATCTATTGTTTATATTTTCCGATTTTTCAATCTTGAGGTTGGAGCGCAAAACCGTATTTTCATGATTTGATCTCTTTATGGTCATCTACTCTGATACCGTTGCTAATTAAAATTATGACCATATGGACTGCATCAATGTGTTCAATGTGTCTTAATTACATTACGTTTATTAAAAAGTGTCCAAAAAGCGTCACCTCATTTTTTGCAACTAGTGACACTAGTTGTTTAGAATCCTCAGTGAATACAATGTTATAAAATAAGGCTAGCTTGATGAGTAAGAATATGAAAACGTTACGAAAAATAAGATGACGCTTTTTGAACACTCTTTCTTTTTTTTTGGACACTCTTTGGTTTTAACAAATTATGAATATTTGCTAATAAATTCAATGATTTTAAAAAATAAATACAAAATTACACGGAAAAAATTTTATATAAAAGATTACTATAATAAAAGAAAATAAAGGTAAGTTTAAATGCTATCGCTATTATGTAAAAAACAGCAAAAATTTTTATAATTTCTTTATGATCCGCGACTACAGTCGTATATAATAATTTTTGATATAAAATTTTCCCCGTGTAGGACTAGCGCCGTCGATTGTCGAGAACGGCACTATCCAATTAATGATTAGATTCTTCTCCCTTTATTATTAATATTTAAAAAATGTAATAAAAGTAGTCTTTTTTAATTTTTAAATTTATTATGGAAATATTCTATTAGATTTCCACGTCAGATAATATTGCTGATGCATCCTTTTTAGAGTGGTTTCCAACATTTAAAAAATTTTAATAATAAATGGAAAAGAATTTATAATGATTAATTGGATAATGCCGCTTCTGACGTTCGGCGAAGCTGGTCCTAGCGTTGAGATGTACTCGGTAAGAAAAAGGAAGGAGGCGTCAATCACGAAAATTGGCTAAATGTCGGTCTCAATATTATCCACAATAATTATTATCAATTTTAGACAACAGTATTTTACAGTGTAAATTATCGCTAAATTCGTGCTGAAGATAATTGTGTATTTGCAAAATGTAAGGTTACCGACATAGCATTTGGTTTAAAAGACCAAAATGTTTCCGACTAGATACTGCGCAAGTTGAATATATAGTGGACAAAATAAACAATAATTCAACGCATACACTCAAAACACAAATTAAGATAAATTTTTGTGTGGAATGCTATAAATTATAATAACATTTACTGCACACAAAAAGAACTTTATTTACATTACTATGTGTAAAATTGTCTTTAATATACTGTTGAGTATGCGCAATGAATTACGTGCAATTTGGCAGGAAAACCACGTGATAAAGTCACCAAAGGCCAATTGAACGTTTAAGCAGAATTCGTAACAAATTATGACAATTATAGAATGGCATAGTCACACAACGCATGGAGTAAGCATCTTCCGAGTCACGGCGTGCAGACAATCGATCAGCAAAGGAAATGTAAAGATAAAGTAATCAAAGATAACTAACTAACAACGCCCCGACGAGCAACATTTCCCGAAATGCACAAAACAAGTGATCCCCGAGTCGACGCGCGAAATGTTCGATTAGCACGTCACTGACCACGGCGATAACCATTGTACAACAGTGCTAATTGCAAAAGAAAAAGAAAAATAACAACGCGAGCCACTCAGTTCCAAAGTTTTATATTCTTCTCGAATATTCCATGATGCAATATTTGTCGAATAATTATATGCAATAAGAATTTGCACAAGATATATCAAGTGTAACAATGATTCAATGCGGAGCTGTATGCTGTCTTTGATGCAATTTATTCCATAACTGATTTTAATATTTGAAATCTTACTTTGTTTATTTCAGAACTAAAACAAAGATAAATACGTATACATTTTTTAATATTGGAATTTACAAAAATCATGGAAATGTTAGGTAAAATTCAACATAAATAAAGGCAAATCTTTTTGCAATTTTTTCTGCAGCCGTATTATCCGAGATTAAGTTTGAAACATTTTTTAAGTCAGATTATTTATTAAAGATGGAAAATTGCAAATAACAGATTACAATTCAAAGCAAAGTACATTAAAATTAAGATTGCTTGATTGGTCTAATTTTAATTTCCAATTCGTAAATTCAGCCTTTAAAATCTAGTCTGATACGGATTTATTGAAATTTAATACTAAAATATTTTATTAAGACATAATTGAATTACAATTTTATACATTTAAGTTTTTTAAACATTATTCTCAAATGTAATACAAAGGAATGATAATATAACATTGTAAATTATGAAAATTGATCAGTGATTAGCTGCCAATTATGCATTTTTGTCTGCTAATTTTGTAAGTTAAGATTATATAAATATATTGCATAACATTCGGACAAAATATTTTATAGATACATATAAAGATGCACTTTCATATTTCTGCAATCAACATACACTAAAAGAAAGATATGTGATATTTCGATTATAACTGCATTTTAATATAATCGCGATACTCATTTTAATAGAAATTGTTAGTATAATGTCAGCAATGTAATAACCTGATACGTATAATATTGCCACAAATAACCAACCATATAGTTAGAACATCTATGAAAATAATCTTGGTGCCAAAAAGCAATATAAATCATGACTACTGCTACTTTTCTTTTCTCTCAGTGTATCAATTGCATTTATCAGAATATCAATAAATTCAGCACACAAGGATTTCTTGGCATAGTAATTATTTAAGATACAGTTAATTAAATATATAATATTTCTTTAAACATTATTTGTTTTAAAGATCAGTTGTAACATGTCTTATACAGAATACCACTGCAAAGTGGCCGTGAGATGTCACCGCGTTTCTCGATAACTGTTGGTTAGACTTGACTGACGTATCAATATTTACATTTAACAGAAAACTATATCATATTTCTTTCTTTATTTCTCTCTATCGGACACTTTTCGGTATAAAGGCTTCTGTATGTAAGACTCGTATTCAGTTATCTGCGTCTAGTCGGTTGAAACAGACACAATGTCAGAATTTGTCTTAACCACAGTTAATGTGTTTGATTATTTTGAAAGAATTCCCGAAAACTACACTCAATTAAAGTGCAAGTCGTGCGGATCATATATTTCCTACTTTGGTTATCGAGGTTTTATAGCACATTTACGTTCAGTCAAACATTCAGAATATTTCAAAAAAACAGCAAAGAAAAACTTAAAAGATAAACCGGATATATATTACGATAGAGAAAAGCGTGTATGTATCGTTTGTAGAAGAACTGTTTTGCCTGAAGAATTTGACAATCACATCCACAACTTACATTTTCCAGAACAAGTGGCACATTATGAACCGATCAGGACTAAAGAGGAACATATGACACGAATTAGTGAGTTTATGGTGATATGCGAACTGAACAAATGTAATAGAGATATAAATCTTGAAATAGCACCAGCATTAAAGCTCCATTTAAGCAAAAAGCATTCGAACATATTAAAAAATGTGCAAACGGGCGAAATGCATGGGCCAAGTATGGTCACAAATAAGAAAGAACTATTGAACAATTACACATTACACATGCCTTATTTTCAAGCAAAATGCAAGTTTTGCGACAATTTTGTAGAATATTATATCAACATTGCAAAGTTTCGTCAACATTTAATAGGACATCATCCCGAAGTTAGTCGATACGAAGATGTTCCTAGAAACAAGGAATCCCCGTGGATACATTTCATGTATTATTCCGATACCAATGTACGATGTTATCGCTGCGATTATTTGCATACTGAGGTGATGGAAGAAGATTGGTTAAGAACACATATGGATATGTACCATAAGGAAGACGAAAACTCACCTTATTTTAACGAACACGTCAATGATTGGGCCTGGAAATACTGTGACACCATTGGAGAATTTCAAGTGCAATGTAAAATTTGTTCCGTTGAAGAAGAACTTGATATTGAAGTTTCAAAATTAAACGACCATTTTGCAAATACACATCTGAACAAGCCACCAAGTAGAAAAAGAGAATATGAAATAGCTGGACCGTCAGGAAGCCAATCACAGGAGAAAAAAAGTAAAGAACAACGTAAGTGACAGTAAGTTTTATTGTTAATAGAACTATATGCGTGCATATAATTAATTTTAACTTTGTCGAGTCGCGTTTAAGTAGAACAAATGCTAACAATAGCCAGATAACATTTTTCACAAGCAAATATTTAAAAATTTTATATAGGTTCATCGTAAGGTTAATGATGCTAACGGCGATCATGTAGCACGACAACCAGGCATCACGACAAAAGGCAATCTTGACTTTGGTAATTAAAACAATTTATAATATGTACAAAAAATAATGTATCTCTGACGTGTAATAATTCGTTTTACGTTTATAAAATTATAAATACGTTTATAAATTGACGTTTTATAACAAAGATGTAATTTCATTTTTGGAATTTATAAAATATATTTGATATATTTAATATATTTAATATATTTTGCTTATATGTAATTTGTCTTAAATTTATTAACTATGTTTATAATTTTATAAAGTACCACAATTTTATAAACTAACAATCGTCTCTTTGTTTCCGAGACAAAATGTGTTAAGATGTTATTCAGTTTAATTTTCATTTCTTACAATTCTCTGTGTATCTTAGTCGTACATGAAGTTTGAACATTTAATGCACTTTAGGTAATTTAAGTTTACTATGACTCTTTAGTTATTATTATATTATTAGAGGTTTTCGAACTACAAATAATATTAATGTAATAAGAATTATTGATAAAATATGAGTATGTTAGTTTAAATTTTGAAGTTATTATATTTTGCCTTTTAAATTGATAATACTTTCAGTATATCAAAAAAATTAATTTCTTATTAACGAAATATATGCTGTAACACATGTAAGACGATTTCTTTATACAATTGAAAAATATTCGAAACAAATGTTTATTGTATGATTTGACTATTTTCATAATAATTTTTAATTTATTTGTTTAATAACACAATCAGAAGCTAACGTCTATCAGATAAATTTGATAATGATACAAGATTCCTCAAATGTTTGTAGCTATTGAAAATCTGAAGAAACAAAAAATCATAACGACACAACTTTTTAATTATTATAATTCGAAATATAATTGAAGAAATTAAAACGACTCGAACGACATTTAAAGTAATTATGTTTTAAAGTTTATAATTAGTTATGATTAAAAATATAAATTGCGATCATGACACTTCATAAAACTAAAACTTAAATACATTGAGAGCATAATGTAAGCAAGTGTATAAATAATGCATTAATTCTCTAAAGTATTACAAGTATCTATAAAATTGCGTCATGTTATTATTTTAATACTACGCTTATGTAAAATTTTTTAGATTACTTGCTTAATACTATCAATGCTTGCATGATGTTCAGTTTGCGGTACATAATTTTAAATATGGACATAACGTATTTTTCAATTCATAGTAATTTAGTGCAATTAATAATACAATTATAATTAGACTGAGTGTGATGTTAATACATGGCATGTAATTATTGTTATACTTAAAATACATATGCATGAAAGAAAAACGCATTATTTAATTATTTTATACAAAAATATTTAATATGCCCATAGAAAATATAAAAATTTTGACCCACATATAACTTTAAGTAGCAGTAAAAGAAAGTAAAATTTTAATTTGCATGCAATTTAATTTTCAAAAAATTATTCTTTTTTGTGTATATTCTTTCAATACAATGCTTACGTAATAAATTATTAAAATTTCCTTGATATATGAAATGTTTCGCAATGTAAAAATTATGTTATTTTTTTTTTCATATTCTATTAGTAACATTTTTCTCTGAAGTAACACAAAAAGTGGATTTTTTTTACAACTCGATTTCTGCGAAATATTTAATCATTGTCATGTGTAAAAAATGTTGGATAGAATTTTTCAATTTACTCAAACTACCTGGTTTAATAAATTGTTTCGTAACGTTAATGATCATCTGCTATTTTAATCGTGCAATTTTTGCAGAGTAATAATAAAACAGAATCACGCTCTTGCACAGAGGTTTTCAAATGATAGGAAGGGTTTTCTTGTTTTTAGTAAGGATCCGCGAGAGATTTTGTTGTAGAAAACTTCGATAAATTTTACCATAACGCAAAGAAGATGTTACAATACATGTTAAAGTAAAGTAATAACAATAATTTATAAAATTATTTTCGTAAAATTACATGCTTTATGTGTGTAATCTGATTAAATATTTTTCCAATGACGATAAATTTCTTTTAAATTTTTCGAGCACCTTGCTAAATAAAATATACTAATCATTAAAAAAGTATTTTCATAAAACCGAAGTAGTATAAAATAAATAAAAAGATAAGAGTTAGACACTAATAATAACATTATATTAATAGAATATGTAATTAAATAATAAATAAACTTTGATAAATTTTGAATATGTGAATTTTGAATTATGCGAATGTCGTATTGGTTAAATATTAAAATTAATTGTATTATTGAAAACTTAATTTATTGTATTAAAATTATATGTTTATTATTTTTTTGTGTAAAAAATAAAAATTAAAGTTTAGTTAAAAATAAAGCCAAAAGGACAACTGTGAAATGGCAATAGTTATTTAAAATTATCATAAATTTATTTAATAAATATAGCTCTTTAATTTAATACATTAATCATAATTTTATTACATGAGCTGGCAAAGCTAAAAGCTAGAATTTAATACCCGCAATTATTATTTACATCATATAGAAAAACCACAGACGTTTCGGCCTTGGGCTTAGGCCATCTTCGGTAAGGAAGGTATACAAACAATTATTCGATAAACGATTTAAAAGTCCCAACGCAACGCCTTTTAAAAATTTTACATTTAACACTACTTAATACATTTAACACTACTTAATACATATTTAAGATTGATCTTAAACGCAATTTTTGTGGTTGTATTATTTCTATCGTTGTCTATATATTCCGATTTTTTAATCTCAAGGTTGGAACACAAAACCGTGGCTTCTTAATTTGATTTCTTTATAATCTATTCACATGCTTAATTAAAATTAAAGCCATAATGACCAATGTTTTCAGTATGTCTTAATTACATTACGTTTATTAAAAAGTGTCCAAAAAACGCCACCTTATTTTTCGCAATTAGTGACAGTAGTTGTTTAGAATCCTCAGTGAATACAATGTTATAAAATAAGGTTAGCTTGATGAGTAAGAATATGAAGATGTTGCGGAGAATAAAGCGATGCTTTTTGGACACCTTTTTATATACGTGATGTAATTAAGATACACTGAAAACATTGGTGCGGTCAATATGGTTTCAATTTTAATTATCAACGGCAACAGAGTAGATGATTACAAAAAAATCAAATTATGAAAACTCTATTTTACGTTTCAACCTCGAGATCGAAAAATCAGAAAATATAGACGACGATAGAAATTATGGCCAATATTCATAGTCCGTCCTTATATTCGAGATCGTCTTAAGCACTGACTTACTAGGTGCGCAACTAAGTTTCCGGGTTTCACACATGAATGGCGCTAACGATACATGTAGTCGATATACATGTCTAAAGTTGTGTTTTTTTATTAACTTGGACATCTGTCAACAATAACCAGTCATAATACCAACACATATTGCAACGCAAAAATATTTTTTCTAACAATAAAGATGTCGAGTTTTGTGCCAAATAAACAGCATTTGCGGGAAGCTTTGCTTTTCTGCTTCAACTTGAAAGAAAATGCAGCTGAAGCACGCCGTTTGCTTGAGAAAGCCTACGGCGAACATGCACAATCGAAAACTACTTGTGAAGATTGGTTTAAACGCTTTAGAAATGGCGATTTCGACACTGAGGACAAGGAGCGCTCCGGAAGACCAAAACATTTGAGGACGCCGATCTGCAAGCGTTATTGGA